CGCAGCCCGCGGCCGAGCGCACGGTACTCGCCGCCCTCCAGCGCGACCAGATAGAGGAAGGCGGCCAGCGCCGGCGGCGCGGCCAGGGCGGCCCCCACCCAGTCGGGCAGCGGCGCCAGCAGCCCCAGGATCTGCGTCAGGTGGCCGTGCAGCAGGTCGCCGACGAAGCCGCCGAGGCCGGCGGCCTGGGCCCAAGCGGCCGGGCGCGGCAGGCCGTCGAGCGCCGTGGCGGCGAGCAGCAGCATCAGCGGCAAGAGGGCCAGGCGCAGCCCCCAGCGCGGCAGCGCCTTGTCGCGCAGCAGCCGCCAGGCCCAGCCGAGCAGCACCAGGGCCAGCAGGCTGGCGCTCAGCCCCAGCGTCGCCAGCCCCAGATCGGCGATCCAGGCGCCGGGCCGGCCCAGGAGGTTGCGCGCCGGCGCGTCGGTGGCGACGTTCGGCCCCGGATCGCCGGGGTGGTAGCTGAGCAGCGCCAGCAGCCCGGCCAGCCCGACGAGCAGCAGCAGGCCGCCCAGCGCCTCGGCGCCGCGCTTTCTCAGGAAGCCTCCGGCCCCGGCCGGAAGCAGGCGCAGCCCACCGCCGCCGGACCGCCCGGTCCCGCGCCGCTTGCCGCCCGTTGCCCCCTGCACCGCCATGCTCGTGTCCTCGATTCCCTCTCGCCCGCCGGCCGTCACCGCGTTGCGCGGCGACCGGCGGCCCCCACCGGCCCGGGCCCGTCTGGAGAGCCTCCGCAGACGGCCGGCCCGCGAAGCGTCAGGTTCCGGCCTCCAGCACCTCGACCAGCCGGGTCAGGGCCCGCTCCGTGGTCTCGCCGTCGTAGACCAGCGCCACCCGGATGTAGCGCTCGCCGGCGTTGTCGGGCAAGTCGGCCGGGCCGGCCATGTAGGCGCCGGGCAGCACGCGCAGCCCGGCCTCGGCCCACAGCCGGCGCGCCGCCGCGATACCGTCGCCGACGTCCAGCCAGAGAAAGAAGCCGCCGTCGGGCCGGCGGTAGCCGAAGCGGCCGCCCAGGACCCGCTCGGCCCGCGCGAAGAGGTCGCGGTAGTAGGCGCGGGTCTGGCCCGGCAGTTCGGTGTCTCGCCACAGCCGTGCGCCGGCGCGCTGCACCGGCACCGGAACCCCGGCGCCGCCAACGCGCAGGCAGGCGTCGACGCGCTCGACCAGCGCCGGGTCGCCGGCCAGGAAGCCGCAGCGCAGCCCGGCCGCGCTCGACCGCTTGGACAGGGAATGGAAGACCAGCAGCCCCTCCAGGCTGCCGCCCTCGGCCGCCGCGGCCTGCAGGGCGCCGGCCGGGGGCGCGTCGAGATAGACCTCGCCGTAGCACTCGTCGGCCAGCAGCGCGAAGCCGCAGGCCCGCGCCAGCCGCAGGGTGTCGCGCCAGCGCTCCAGACTCATCGCCGCGCCCTGCGGATTGGCCGGGCTGCAGAGATAGGCCAGCAGGCTGGTGCCCAGGGTATGCGCCGGCAGGCCGGCGAAGTCGGGCAGGAAGCCGGTCTCCTCCGGCGCCGGCACGAAGACCGGCGAGAGGCCGGCGACGGCGGCGCTGCCCATGTAGCAGTGGTAGCCCGGCGAGGGCAGCAGCACGGCGTTGCGCTCCGGCTCCTCGGCCTCGGCGCCGGCGGCCAGCGCCAGGGCGGCGAAGAACAGCCCCTCGCGGCTGCCCGGCAGCGGCAGGACATGGCGCGCCGGGTCGAGCAGCCCCTCCGGCAGGTCGTAGCGACGGTTGAGGTAGTCGACGCAGGCCGCCGCGTAGTCCGCCTCGCCGCGCGGCGGCGGGTAGCGTCCCCAGGCGCCGAGGTCGGCCGTCAGTTCCTCCAGCAGATAGGCCGGCGGCGCCACCTGGGGGTCGCCGATCGACAGGTTGATCGGCTTGCCGTCGGCGGCCGGCGAGGGGCCCGGCGGCACCTCGGCGAGCAGGGCGTTGAGCCGCAGGAAGGGCTGGAAGTCGCGCGGATCGCGGCGCCGCGCCTCGGCCTGGTGCACCGCCAGCCCGCCCGAGGGGGCGTTGGCGTTGGTCCCGCCGAGGCGCTCGATCTCCGACGCGGTCGACATAGGCTCAGACCTTCCTCTCCAGCATCCGCCCTCTTCAGCCTCCGCCGCGGCGCTGGCCGCGGGCGCGGCTTCCGTGCTCGGCCCCCGTGCTCGGCCCCCGTGCTCGGCCCCCGTGCTCGACCCCCGTGCTCGACCCCCGTGCTCGACCTGCGTGCCCGTCAAGCTCGACCACGGTCCGGCCAGCCCGCCCCCTCTCGGGCGCGAACATCCTGTGTACCACGGCGTCCCGCGAGCGGGACAAAGCAAAAACGATACTACTTTGCGATCAAGGGGTTAGCAACCAGTAGGGGCCGCACGCCCGCGACTCCCAAGATTTCGGCGGAACGAATCATGTTTGTTCACGCCCCCGAGTCGCCCCCGAATCGCCCCCGACTACTCGCCGGCGGTCGGCTCGCGCCGCCCGGCGACGGCGGAGTCGGCAGCGCCGGACTCGGCGGACTCGGCCTCGGGCCACAGCAGCCGCGCGCCCTGATGCACCGCCACGGCGATCAGCGCGCCCACGGTCATGACGTAGACCAGGGCATAGGGCTCGAGGCTCTGCAGGTAGCCGACCGACTGGCTGGTCGCCGCGCCCAGCCCGAGCTGCAGGAAGCCGGCCAGGCCGGCGGCCGTGCCGGCCAGGCGCGGATTGATGCTGACCGCGCCGGCGATGCCGTTGGGGATCGACAGGCCGTTGCCCAGAGCGATCAGGGTCATCGGCACGAACAGCGCCCAGGGGGCGAGCTGACCGGCGAGGTAGAGGCCCAGCGCCGCGCCGGCGCCGATCAGCGCCAGCAGCGTGCCCAGGCCGATCATCCGCTCGACGCCGAGCGCGACGGAGTAGCGCCCGGCCAGGCCGTTGCCGGCCATGTAGCCGAAGGAGGAGACGATGAACCAGAGGCCGTATTCCACCGGGCTGCGGCCCAGCACCTCGACCATCAGGAAGGGCGCGCCGGCCAGGAAGGAGAAGAAGACCGAGGAGGTGAAGCCGGTGGACAGGGCGTAGCCGTTGAAACGCGGCCGCTTGAGCAGCCAGGCGTAGCCCTCGAGCAGGCCGCGCCAGCCCCGCGCGCCGCCGCCTGCGCCGCCCCCGGCGCCACCGGCATCACCGCTGCCGTGGTGCGTTTCGTGCAGGAAGACCTGACAGGCCAGGACCACCACCGCGCCGGCCGCGGCCAGCAGCCAGAAGCCGGCGCGCCAGCCGAAGGCCTGGTCGAGCAGGCCGCCGAGCGCCGGCGCCACCATCGGCGCCAGCACCCAGGCCATGGTGATGTAGCCGATCACGCTGGCCGCCCGGTCGCGGCCGTAGAGGTCGCGCACGATCGCCCGCGCCAGCACGATGCCCGAGGCGCCGCCGACCGCCTGCACCAGGCGCGCGGCGATCAGCAGCTCGATGCTCGGCGCCAGGGCGGAGCCGAGGCTGCCCACCACGAAGAGCGCCAGCCCGGCGATCAGGGTCGGCCGCCGCCCCCAGCGGTCGGAGATCGGGCCGTAGAGTAGCTGGGCCACCGCCAGGCCGATCAGGTAGAGGGTCAAGGTGAGCTGGGCGGTGGCGTAGGGAATGCCGAAGGCGGCCTGCAGGCCCGGCATCGAGGGCACGAAGAGGTTGAGGGCCAGCGGCCCGATCGCCGACACGGCGATCAGGATCAGCAAAGAGGGTCTGGGCCGGGACTCCAGATCGTCCCCGGCCGGGGCGAGCGACGCCTCGTCGCGCGGCATGCAGGCGGATCCCATGGACGGCCGGCGAAATCGGCCGGCAAAGCGATAAGTCACCTAAACTATGGTGGCGCAGGGCGCCCCGGGCAATCGCCGCAGGCGCATGGCTGGGTCCAGGGCCGGGGTCTGGCGCCGGGTCTGGGGCCGGATTTGGGGCCGGCCTGTCAGCCGTCGCGCGCCGCCCGCGCCGCCCACGGTTCGGCCGGCTCTGCGCCCTCCGCCTGGGCCTTCAACTGGCAGGCGGCGCGGGCATAGCCGCCGTCGGCGCCGTCGAGGAAATGCATGTGGTCGCGCTGCAGGGCGGAGGGCACGATGCAGGTCATCAGCGCCGCCGGCTGGGTCCAGAGCCCGTAGTGCAGCACGCCGGCGCGCCGGCCGCGTTCGAGCAGGCCGGTGACCGCGCGCAGGGTCTCGGCGTCGCAGTCGACGGTCAGGCGCAGCATGTCGTCGAACTTGCGGTAGTCGCTGTTGCGCGTCGTGTCCTGCCGGTAGGCGACCGGGTCGAAGCCGCCGACGCGCCAGCCGGTCTTGTCGAGCAGCCAGGCGATCAGGGTCAGCACGCGCAGCTTGCGGCGCTGGCGGGCCAGGGCGGTCGTCGCCGGGCGGCTGGCGCGCGCCTCCAGCTCCAGGCCGGCCGGCGGCCAGCGGAAGCCGGGGCCGCGTTCGGGCACGGGGTGGCCCTGCCGCTCCCCGTCGCCGAGCCGAGCCAGCACCGCACGCGCCGTCTCGGCGAAGGCCGCCTCCTCGGCCGCGCCGGCCGGCGCCACCAGCAGCGAGACGATCTGCCCGCGCCGGCTCTCGATCGGCGTCCAGCGGCAGGACAGCCCGGTCAGATCGGGCCGCGCGCCGGCCGGCGCCGGCGCCACGGCGAAGCGGCCGGCCTTCATCTCGGCCTCGGCCCAGGCCAGCCCCTGGCCGCTGAACATGGCGTAGCTGACGGCCTGGGAGGCGGCGAAGCGGGCGACCCGAACCTCGCGCCCCTCGCGGCGCACCGCCTCGACCGGCACCAGCGCCGCGCGCAGCGTCAGGCCCAGCTCCTCTTCCACCCAGCGCGCCGTGCGCGCCAGGGCCGTCTCGGCCGCCGCGCGCGCCTCCGGCGGCACGGCGAAGGCGGCGCCGTCGCCGCCGAAGACGAAGGGAAAGTCGCGGTGGCCCAGCGCGTTCATCACCGCCGAGATGGCCGCCGCCCCGGCCATGTTGACCGCCTTGTAGCGGCCGGCGGCGATGGCCTCGGTGGAGTCCACCACGTCGCTCAGGCCCAGCCACCAGCCGGCCGGCAGCGGGCGGTAGACGGCGGCGTCGAGCACCTTGTCGAACTCGCGAAAGACCTCGGCGCTGCGATAGAAGCCGTCCGGCGGGGCGGCCCCGTCGAGGCCGGGGCCGCCGGCCGGGTCGGCGGTGGTGCGGCCAGAGGTCGGGGACGCAGTCGGGTTCGTGGTCGGGGCCGTGGTCTGGGCCGTGGTCTGG